AAGATTCCCCGATGTTTTTTAACAGCTACTAGAATTCTAAAGCGCACAAACTTTTAAATCTACCATGCTATCTGTTGTGGAAGGGATGTGATGTGGTGTTAACCTTTTTAATCCTGGAATACAAATTGATTTTAAAATGTGTTGAATATTTAAGGATGACTTCATGCAAGTTAATAAACCATTTGTAAAGTGTTTGTATACAACCCTTTGTATCATGTTGTTGGTACACCTTACCAAATTTTTTTTGGGCATGTATTCCATTCTTAACTTCTGTACAATTTCTATTGTTGCTGTAAATATTCTAAAAGAACAAAAAAAAAAAATCCTGTGGTAACCTTAATTATCAGCATGGAAATGGTTAATTTTTACTGAGCACAATGTATTTTTGAATGGGCCTTCCAAAATACGTCTTTAATAAAAATGCAGATTTTGCACTAGAACACTGGCATTGCTCAACGGCTGATCTTATTCCTGGCACCTCTCTCCCCCAGAGCTCCTCCCCGCTCGGTAGCGTGGCTCAGATGAGCCCAACGGGCCAGGGCTCCTTTGCCCGACAGCCCCTGGCTCACTCTCCATCTGGTGAGGCTGGTGTTTCCACAGGAGCACGGACAAAACAGCTCTGAAGCACTTTGTTGCCCCCATTCCTGTAGTCTCATTGAAGGCATTGCAGGGGTGGGGTGGTGGGGGTGGGGGGCGTTCTTCCTTTCAGGGCAAGAATCTCTGCTGCTCCCTCTTTCGAATAGTATCAACCCACCAATCCCCTCAGCAGGTGCTACCCAGAAATTAAAAGGCCCTGCAAGTTTCCAGCCCTTCATCTGTCTTTGCTGCAGAAGGGGATCCCCCATTTGGGTAGCATGTTGGCATTTCAGCATTGCCACACATATGCTCTTGTAGGCAAACCTTCAGGTGTCAGCGTTTGATGGGTTCCTCTTTAATGTGTCCTGGCCATGACTTTTTTTGTTATTGTGTGCAGCTCTAAAAAACTTTAAATATTCCTCTGCTGGTCCCTCATTCTTCAGGGAAGATTGGAAGCCAAAATTGGAAGCCAACTGAGAAGTAGGGACCACTTTACTTTGGCCTCCCTTCTTTCCCTCTGTGTTCCAGCAGCAGACTTGCTGAAAGCCAGGACTTGCACTCTGTCAAGATCCTCCCAAAACTGCCTGGTGGGGTGTGCCCCAGCCACAGCTGCTGTGGGGCCAGAACTGTGTTTGAAATGCCTGTTTCCTTCAGGTGCCTTGCTCTCTGGGGACTTGGCTTTACTCCTACAACCTCACTTTGCTCTTAACTCTTTGAAGGATCTGGTTGTGGTGACCCCAGGCACTCGGTGCCCTTTCCTGTACTCCCTGCAGGGCTCCAGAAAACAAAGTAGCCACCTCCTTGAAGAGGTCGAGCACCTTGCCATGGTAGCCCCAGTGTAGTCAGCACTGGTCCCCCATGGGATGGGGAACAGGGTGGGTGTGGGCATTTTTCTCTGAGAGCTGTAAAGGGAAAATTCCTGCAGGTACCCACTTGGAGAAAGGGGCTATTGACCCACAAATGGTGTGGCTGCTCCAGAGGCCTGAGGCAGTCTTCTTATCACGTCGCTTAGATTGGGCAAGCTTGACTTCTCAGCACAGTTCCTCACCTCTCTCTGTAAGCATCCCAGAATAAAAATTCAGGTCACAAAGCTGAAGGCACCTCTTGGTCCTGCCTCCTATTTCAAACCTGTTGTCTCTTACGTGGTTGCCAAGTCATGCATCGGTCTCCCTACCTCTGCCGGTAAAGACCTGCAGGATTTTCACTCCTGGAAGATAAATGAGTGTTCAGCACTGCTTTACCTCGGTTGCTGCCTCTGTTCCGGTTAATGGTGATAGGAGGCATCTGTGCCAGTAAATTAAAATGACAGCGATACGCTAGGAAAAGTTAGACTTTATGATGAAAAGCTGTGGGGTTTTGTAATTGTATTTTGGCTGGTTCTATCCCGCTGTCATAACGCCCTCAGTCCAACACTCTGCATTTATGCAGAGGTGGAAGTCAAGTGCAATTCTAATAGCATTTTAGGATGACTTAATTAATTAAGCCTCTCAGGATCCTTCTTTTTAGATAAGAGGCACAGGTTAAGTGAATTCCCAAAGGTCAATTAGCAAACGAGCTGCATAGCTAGGATCAGAACAGAAACTCCCACTTTAGCAGCAACCATTTAGACACTGCCGATCAAAGCCAGAAGTCGGTCCTTTCCCCATCCAAGCTGGCCAGGTGAACTGCAGGCAAAAGACAGGGAGAGGCAAGAAGCAAATGCACTGTGAAATTCAGTGTATGCCAGTTAGTTCCACCTTATTTATCGCTGTACATTACAATCTGACAAAGGGGTCTAGTGACTTCTTTGAAGCCGGGAAGCTGGAAGGGTGATAGCACAGGTCCCTTCTACCTGGACAGACTTTTCTCTCTTCAAGGTTTTATTATATCCTATATCTCAGATCAGTCATGTGAAGATAAATAATTTGGTGTGGTGCCTTGGTGTATAATGGTGTGCAGTCCATCCATTCAGGCTGTGGATTAAGCTTGCAAGCTCTTCCAAATGACGCAGGAACCCTTGGCCCTCGCCGCAGGGCACATTTCCAAAAGCAGGCAACTTGCAAAACCCTGGACCATGCCTGGGAGCTCAGAGGCCAGCCACAGCCAAAGCTCTGGGTTGCTACAGTCAAGCTTAACTGCTTTGAGATGCTACAAATATTCATCAGCTGGTGCCCAGTCCAGCCTTTCACCCCTCCAACCCCACCCCACTACTCCTCAGTCATGCAATGAAACTGCAGCTCCAAGCCTCACACCCCCGCCAGTCACCATCCACCAGGACATGGAACAGAGCTGCCTGTGCTGCTTTTAGGGAAGGGGATCTCATCAACACATAAAAATATCTCAAGGGTGGATGTCACGAGGACAGAGCCAGACTCTTCTCGGTGGTGCCCAGCAACAGGACAAGGGGCAATGGGCACAAACTGAAGCATAAGAGGTTTCAGTTGAATTTGAGGAAGAACTTCTTCACTCTGAGGGTGACAAAGCACTGGAACAGGCTGCCCAGGGGGGGTGTGGGTGGTTGGGGGGTTGGACTGGATGATCTCCCAAGGTCCCTTCCAACCCTTGTGATTCTGTGATTCTGTGAAAGTAGCGTGTTAAGATGATGGCAGCTGTGTCCAGGGACTGGAAATGCTTTGGCTTTTAGTGTTGGTGTTCCTAACTGGAGAGCTACAAGGGCTGGTGCAGAGCCCATGTCTCCCTGTTGCTGCACGGAGAGTGCCTCCAGGGAGGCTGTTACCCCATGCTGGTCCCACAGCTGGGCTGCACGGAGGACTTGCCTCGAGCTCTGTTGACCTTCTCAGTAGAGCTTTCCTGGACTGATAGTCATTAGCGAACCGTGCAGATTCACTGCTTGCTTATTAAGAAAACGTGTCCCTGCACCCATTTGTGGATAGGCAAAACTCATTTAGGGGGTGGGTGGAAGCAAGGGAGTGATGGTGACATAATAACAATCATCTCAGCAGATGGGGATTAGTATTTTCTACATCTCTGTAGGCTTCATACTGTTGGTATAGCAAAGCAGAAGCTTTCAGACTCACCAGAACGGCATATTTTCCTGACAGTTATTATTTATCTCTATATACAGGAAAAAAACAAAGCAGAAACATCTGCCATCACGAATGAATAAAATCTGATGAATCGTACAGACATCCAAAGGCTTTTCTCATGTTTATGGTCACATCTTGTTTGGTTTTAGCCACATCTCATCTCCTGCCTTGCTCACTAAGCATTCGCCTCTCTCTGCATAGGGGTAGGAAGGGGGCACAGGAGGCAGAGGGCCTGCCTTGGTGCCGTTGCCTTCCTGCCGCTCCTCTCTCCGCTGAGACAGTTCAGGTGCCAATGCTGCGACTCTTCAGGATGGATGCATGGATTGTTAAAAAATAGGGAAAAGGCCCTCGGTGCCTGCCAGGTTTCTGCCACAAACATGTGAGAAGCCAAACAGTGGCTGCCACCCCAGAGCCCCCCACTGCCCTCCCACATGGGAGCTGCAGGGGCCACAGCTCCCACCTGGGGCGTGCTGGGCATCAGCTCCCAGGAAGAGGCAGGGACATGAGCCATAGCACCCGGGTGGTCTCCCCAGGGAGATGGGTGCATGGTCAGAGCCCCCCCACACCCCAGATTCCTCAGGCGCTCAGCACCCATTAGGGATTGGGCCATGGAGATCAAGGCAGTTAATGGAAGCGAGTCCCTGTTCCTGTGCCCAAATGCCCATGAGGAGCGAAGCACCCTGGGCTGCCCAGGATGTATCAGTGCAAAACCAGAGAGGATACAGAGGGGGTTTGGCCACCCAGTGCACAAGGGACCAATGGCTGCCCCAGAAAAGGCCACAGCAGCTCAGGCTGGAGGGGACCTTATACAAGGGGACACGAGGTGACTGAGAGTGCGAGATTCAGGCGGGGACCATTGCTCTGGGGACTGGCCACATCCAGCCCCAACCCTGTCTCAGGGATGGCAGAGATGGACAGGAGGACCATGAGGAAAAGCAGGGTGAGATGTCTGCTCTGGCGGGATGGCAGGGGGGGTGCCTGAGCTCAGGGACAAATAATCACTCGCAGACCTACCCTCCCCAAGGCAGTCCAAGCCCTGCTTTTGGATCCCATCTGCATTTACTTAGGTCTCCACAGCACGCTGTGGTGATGATTTCCCCAACCTAACACCCAGGGCCAGAAGCACCACAACTCATGGGATCCAAGGCACAGGAATAAACCCTCCTGCCTTCCCCGATGCGTGCCCCAACACCACCCGTCAGCTTCACAGCAGGGTTGAGCTTTATCACTAGGCGTGGTGCAGAGCAACGTTTTATTCAAGAGAGCCCTTCCTTTTGCAGGCCAGGCATTTACACCGCAGGACCGCGGCCACAGCCGGAGTTGGTGGTGAGGTGGGGTGGCTGCACAGGCGGACACCTACACATCCACCCCAGGAGGCGGCGTGGGGGGGGTGGGTGCTCAGCCGCACTTGCCCAGGCACTCGAGGAGCTCCATGCGGATGGCGATGCGCACGTGCCAGCCCAGCGGGATGAGGCGGATGTAGCGGGCCACGATGGGCGGCCGCAGCAAGTTCTGCACCGAGGATGAGCGGTCTGAGTTGCCGTAGAAAACCTGGGGGGAGAGGTGTGGGCGGGAAGTTAGGTGGCTGGAAAACCTATCCTATGAGTTTGCGGTGCCTGCGCAGAGCAGAAGAGGAAGAGGAGGAGTGTCCTGCTGCCCCAAAATAAAAGACTTCAAAAATAGCCAGAGAGACAGACACTTTTTTGCCACACCGATTGGGTTTTTTTAATAAGTCACTTTCCCCACATCGTTCCTCCACTATTTCTGGTCAGGCTAGACTTAATCTCACCCTATTCTCTCTCATTCGTCTTCTGGCAGCAAGGCACCGTGTGTTAGGATTGAGCGTGGCTGACCGTGGCTGTTTGCAGTTCATGAGCCAGACTCCCCGGACATGCTGACATAGACAAAAAAATGTATTTGGGGCTCTTCCCCACTGCTTGGCCATGACCTCTTTTTGAGGAAAGCTCAGCATCTCCCCAGGGCTACAGGAACTACAGGCACCACTGTAGGTCCCCTGTGCAATTTTTTGCTTCAAGCCAACCCCTAAGAAGTGCAGCATGTGAACAGTTTGGTGGGTTGTGACTTAAATAGTTGCAGATTTTGTCTCAGGGGTTTTTCTGCATCGTTATTGTGCACTAGCCCTGGTCTTATGGCAAAAGAAGGAGCCCCCATTTTGCAGTGCCCAGGCATGGCTAGTATAGTGCTGTCCTGTCCACCTTATCACAGAGGTGCCACTTCCCCTGCGATGCCAGCTAATGCCTCTGTCCTGCCAAGTCTAGTCTAGACTCCACCATCATCATTAGCAAAAAATGTATTTTGTCTTTCTGCAGTTGGTCAGCGTGGCTCTTGCTCTTACCATGGCTGGGGAACACCCCTCTCCTTGCTGCCCCTGGATGAGGGATGAACACCAGGTCACATCTACCCTGCTGATCCCGCTCTTAGGGCACCTCCCTGCTGAGACCTGACACTTTTGTGTCACCAAATGTGCCCCCCACTCCACCAATGGCCAAAATACGAAGTCCACTGACCCGGTTGTTCCCGGTCTGATCCTTGTAGTAAACCCAGTTGAGGTTCTCGTCAGTGCGGTACTGCACGCTGTACTTGGTCATCCACTCGTCGGCATCGCAGCGCCCTTGCGTGAGGATCCCCGAGATCACCTTCACCTCCTTCAGGTCGATCTGCAGCCACTGCCCGTTGTCCTGGTACTTGGAGAGCCACGCACACCTGGGGGGACACCGCTGGCCCCACTATGTCCTCCGACCCTGCCCTCCCGGGCAGCCCCTCCTGCCCCCATGCTACCAGGGTGCCCCAGTCCCTCAATCCCACCTGCCCACAGGACCCCTCGGGGAGGCATTTTTGGACTCACCCAAAGCCTTGGCCATTGAGGCGGGCCTTATTGGCTGTCCAGGAGGAGTACCAGCCCGTGTACTGCTCGGGGTTGGAGCAGCTTATCTGATCGGGGGTGACGGCGCCGGACTCGAAGCCCAGGGGCTTGTGGTAGGGGCACTCTGCAGAACAAGGGAAAAAACATGCTACCATTAGGCCATGAGTGGCCGGCTTTGTTTCCTGGTTGCGTTTGCACATTTGTTGTCAACACCCTCTGTGGTTTCACTGCTCCCTGTCCTCCCTGGCCAGGATGCTGGGGATGCTCTTAAATCCGGACCACAACCCCTGCAGTATTTGCTGCCCAGGGGCCATGGGGATCTTCATTTCTAACTCTTCTCTTGTATGAATTTCTGACTCTTCTCTCTCTCTCAAACTTCCTAAACCTGTGCTGCCTCAGCATTTTGAGGGAAGGTTTTATTCAGATGTTGCAGTCCGAATCTGCTGCTTGCAAGTATGTGGAAGCAGATCCAGACTGGATACATCGACCTGGATCCAGATTCCAGGCTGTCAGCCTCTGCCTGGTCCTTGAGAAATGCCTGTCATGGCTTTCCTTGCTGGGCTTTATCTCCTTCCGCTCCTCCATTCACTGTCTTGATTTATGGCTATGCCTGCAGGGCAAAATTGCTGAGCCTACTCTGATCATCCCTCCACAAGCACCCTCAGATCTTCTGCATTTTCTGCTATGGGGACTATCTTTGTATCTGGAGATGGTCTTCTCTTGTGGAAAACCTGCAGGTACTCTGGTGCCAGTGAGGTGTAACGCTTGGCCCTGCCAAAGGCTCAAGTGTCTCCATCTGAGTTTTTCCCTTCGGCCCTTCAGGCTACCAAACCTGACCCCACAGCTGTCTTCTGCAATAGTGAGAAGTTCAGCAAGACTCCCACTGGCTGTAAAACCACCAGGGGCAGAAATACCCATTCATCATTAAAACTTGCTGTGGTGGGTTACTGCACAGTGCTCTGGAAGGCAAGCCTCTGGTGATGCTGCCACGCAGAGCGCCTGCATGCCACCTGGACCTAGTTAGGATTTTTTGTTATGAGCATTTTTATGGGAGCAGGTTATCACTATGTGTCTACATACACATAAAGAAGGTGCTCACAAGTGTCAGACAGGAATTGCCTGGGAAAACATCTACATTGTGGGCAGCATTTTCTAGTTTTGCAGTGTGTGGAGCATGTGTGATCCCTCAAGGGTGACTCTGTCACGTTTTCCAGTTTAGCGTAGTTCATTTCATGGGCCTTGGCAATAAAGGAGCAAGCAAAGCTCTGTGCAGCTTCACTCGCGGGTAGGACGTTTCCTTGCCTTAGACATGCCTGACTGACCAGCGTGATGCCTTGTGTTAAAGATGACCGATGCATGGGGAGCATCAGCAGGTGCCCAGGGCCTGGCATGACCACGGCCTCCCTGGTGCAAGGCCCCAGCACTGCAGCGGCACGGTCAATGTCTCATTAGCAAGCTCCACTAGGTCGATATCGTACGCATCAATATCTCATTAACATATCTGGCTCAGCTGGTACCTCATTAACATGTTTTTCCCCACAAAAACACAGAGCTGCCATCCCGCCTTCCTCCAGGCACGGAAACATCGTGCTTTTCCACCGCATTAAAAACCCCTGCTCCTCTTGTGCAAGAGGGCAGCCGGGCTGGGGTGGCCCTGCATGTTTACTACTTGTCAGGCTTATCTCGAACAACACTTAACTTTACTTTTAGCAACACTAATCCACAGACCACACAACCATAATGCAATTAGCAGGTGACCTTCTGGCGCGGCCGCCACACACAGGGACCAGCGAAACAGATGCCCGGTGCCTGCCCGGCCAAACCAGCTAAGCCATGTTATGCTGTTACCACCGACCCGGAGAAAACTCGTGCAGCGGTTGCGAGGCCGGCTGCTCCCCTCCACCCATGCCAGAGGCTGCAACACCTCAGTGCAGTTGGTCTGCAAACCATCCCCAGGCAGTGGGGATGCCGGGCCACGCTGGGCTGGGTGAGGAGACTGCAAAGCCCCCCTGCCTGGGGAGAGAGGCAGCTGGGAGATATGGTGACGGCATTCATTATTCAGGAAAACAGCCTTCATTAGTCAAGGCAGGCGCCTTCATTACTCAGCTACTTAATGAGCTGAGAGCACCTCTCACACCTAGCCTGGCCAGGAAAACTAGAGCCGCTCCTCTCACACACGTGTCCCTCAGCCATGGATGCATCAACCAAACCTGCCGTGTCTCCTGTCCTTCCTTCCCCTTCCCTTTCAAGGGGCAATGGTTTTAAACTGAAAGAGGGTCAGTTTAGATTGGACATAGAGAAGAAATTTTTTACGATGAGGATGGTGAGGCACTGGAGCAGATTTCCCAGAGAAGTTGTGGATGCCCCATCATTGGAAGTGTTCAAGGTCAGGTTGGATGGGGCTTTGAGCAACCTGGTTTAGTGAAATATGTCCTTGCCCACAGCAGAGGAATTGGGCTAGATGATCTTCAAAGGTCCCTTCCAACCCAAATCATGCTGTGACTCTGTGATTCCTTGGTGCAAGTGACAGCAGGGTGGCACCAGACTGTAGCAAGGCTTCAGATGGAGACTTGCACGTGTAGAACTTCCCAAGGGGTTGGTCAGGGATCTCTGCTGGGCCGGCTGTGATTGAACATTGCCATGAGGCTCTGCAGTGCGTGTGAGCATGCTGATGCTGCTCCTTACACATGATTCCAGGGCTGCAGGAAGCAGGGGGATCCTACGTGGTGACCTGGAGTGTGCAGTAATCTCCATTTGTCCAAAATATGCCTACTGCAGCTCCATGCAAAGGGATACAGCTCCAGGTGGAGGATGTGCAGGGGGGGCACCATCCAAATAGAGAGAGACTCAGACAAGGATGCAAGGACTGCAGGGACCTGCTCATCACAGGTGGGCTTCCTGATGATGGTGCAACAAAAAAGAGTTGTGGTGGCCAGCCCTTTGGAAGGGAGCAGTGAGCTCAAGCAGGGCCACGCCAGCTCAGACTCATGTTTGGGGCAGTGCATATGGGTTTCTTTCATAAAAGACTGGCGAAACCCCTAAGAACAGGAGACATAGTGTCATTTCTGGAGCTCCTATAAGTGAGTGTGATGGGGGCTGTCTCCAGCAAATGCCTTCTTCCTCCTCATACCTGCCCCAGCAGGCAGCCCTGTGGAGATGACAGATGCAGAAACTGGAAGGACAGAGCCTGAGAAGCCATGACCCTTTACTGGGGATGCTTGGGGCCACTTTGTCCTGGGGATGAGACACCACCCATGCACAGCAGATGAATCCCCTCCTTGTATTTTCTCTGGGCAGGGAAGAAGCTTGTGGGCAACGCTGGGTGAGCCCCAGGTGGATGTGACCTCCACAGGAGCAGGGTGCATGGAGGGACAGCCCAGGGGAAGCAGGTAGGCCAGCAAGGATGACTGCAAAGACTCTGCTTGCCAGCTGCCTCGTGCCTCAGGAGGGAAACCTTCAGCTCCAACACCAGAATGGGACAGAAGCACCAGGGGTTTATTCCCCCTCTCCTTTCTGTTTGCGTATGCCTGCAAGGTCTTCCAAAGGTGTCACTTCTTCTTGTCAATACACATTTTTATTTGCTTTCTAGCCCGTCCTGGCTTCCACCCGGAGCTCTTCCAGGGTAACTCATTTAACCACCTCCTCCCTCAGGGCAGCCATGCCAAATGCTGAGCACTGGGATGACTGTTTTCCATGTGTATCTGCCCTGGGGAACCCAGGAGCAGCAAAACACACCTCAAGGTGTTGCACAGCCTCTTACAGGAGCTGGGAAGAGGTGGCTTGCTAGTGGGCACGAGGCAGGTACCGTCTTCGGCACCCAAACCCAGAGGGGGTGAACACCTCTGAACGTCTGCATGACAGAGGCCTGAACATGAGTGCAGCTTCTGTGGGACACAAGATAAACCTGAGGATCAGCTGGGCACCAATACAGCCTTGCTGGGATAACATGTCAGGGAAAATGTGGCAGTTGCAGAGAATAATGAGGAAAGAGCTTGATTAGAAACCTACAAATTACTGCTTCAAAACATGCTGCAGAGAAAGAATAAACTGTTTTCCTTGACCCCTGGGGAAAGGCGAAGATGTCACAGGCTAAATTGCAGCAAGGCAGAATCAGCCTAGGTTGTACAAAAGCAAATCCTAAGCAAATCCTGCACACAGCAGTAGCTGTCCCAGGCAGTTTCTGGGAGCACCAGCGCCAGGGGGTGTAGGGATAAGGCAGGCAAGTGGCTGCCAGCACAGCCAGCCTGAGCCACCCTGGGTGACCTCCCAAGGCCCAGGTACGGCCCCCACTACTGCTGCCCCTTTGCCCGATGGTACAAGGTCATAGAAACATAGAATCATTTAGGTTGGAAAAGACCTTTAAGATCATCAAGTCCAACTGTTAACCTAACCCTGCCATCCCACCACTAAGTCATGTCCCTAAGCTCGTCTGCCCGGCTCTTAACTACCTCCAGGGATGGGAGCTTGACAACCCTTTCGGTGAAGAAACTTTTTCTAATGTCCAATCTAAACCTCCCCCGGTGCAACTTGAGGCCATTTCTCCTCGTCCTATCACTCGTTACCTGGGAGAAGAGACTGACCCCCACCTCGCTACAGCCTCCTGTCAGGCAGCTGTAGAGGGCGATAAGGTCTCCCCTCAGCCTCCTCTTCTCCAGGCTGAACAACCCCAGTTCCCTCAGCCGCTCCTCATCAGCCTTGTGCTCCAGACCCCTCACCAGCTTTGTTGCCCTTCTCTGGACATGCTCCAGTGCCTTGATGTCCTTCTTATAATGAAGGGCCCAAAACCAAACACAGTATTTGAGGTGTGGCCTCACCAGTGTGGAGTACAGGGCCACAATCGCATCCCTACTCCTGCTGGCCACACTATTCCTGATACAAGCCCAGATGCTTGTCACCCCACACCTCCCACCGGTGCAGCTCCCCTGGCCCCACAAGGAGCTGAGTTTGGAGTGAGCGCCACCATAACATGCCACCTCTGCAATGCAGGGTGCAACGGAGGAAGCTGCTGAAGGTGAGAGAGAAGCCAGACAAACATGGCTAAAAGCGCACTGGCCCGTTACCTGGCATGCACTCTAAGCTGTTAGTCCCGCTGGACCACACTGAGTTAGGACCTCCTTGGCAATCACATTTGCAAGCCTTGCTGTGCCACAGCTCCAGTCTCTCATCCTAAAGGCAAGGTAAAAAAACAATAATAAACCACCATAATAGTGACAATAGTGACAGGAGGCTAAATGTAAGTCCTGAAGCTTTAGACAGACACTTGCGCCCGCCCAGGCTGCTGCACCTTCTCTGACCCCCTTTCTTTGTGTCAGCCCAGCACGAAACGTGGGATGAGTCCCCCTTGGATTCAGAGGTCGGAGCGCGTGCCTAGGCTTGGGGGCCCAGGTGCCATGCCTCCTCCTGCCCCAAGGCACCACAGCCAGGCAGAGTTGGGCCACCAGCATTTGCCCAGCAGCCAAACCAGCCGGTGGGACTTACCTCTCCCGGGGAGAGGGCCAGCGCAGCTGGGCCAGCGGGCATGGTGGGAAGAAAAGAGAGAGAGAGAGATCAGAAACAAAGATGCTGCAAGCACACATCAGGAAATACAATGAACATTTACTCCTGAGCAGGGGATAAATAAATCGAGGAAAGACTGACAAATCTACTGCGCTTCCCCAAGCTGATTGCCAGGGGAAAGCCAGAGGACGTGGGCAGAAACAGGGCACTGCGTGTGCCCGTGCTGGTGCTACTCCCCCACTGCGTTTTCTTCCCAAAGCCTTTGGCATCTCCTCATTTGCCCAGCAGGAAAACCAGCCGGTGGGACTTACCTCTCCCGGGGAGAGGGCCAGCGCAGCTGGGCCAGCGGGCATGGTGGGAAGAAAAGAGAGAGAGAGAGATCAGAAACAAAGATGCTGCAAGCACACATCAGGAAATACAATGAACATTTACTCCTGAGCAGGGGATAAATAAATCGAGGAAAGACTGACAAATCTACTGCGCTTCCCCAAGCTGATTGCCAGGGGAAAGCCAGAGGACGTGGGCAGAAACAGGGCACTGCGTGTGCCCGTGCTGGTGCTACTCCCCCACTGCGTTTTCTTCCCAAAGCCTTTGGCATCTCCTCTTTCTGATCAGATACGCCTGAAACACCCTGAGGAGAAACCCACGCCAGCCCCTTCAGCTGCTTTGCAGCTAATTTCACATCTATCCCTTTTCACCAGCTCTCTTCCCCGTGGTTTCCCTTTTGCCCTTAAAATGTGCGAGCTGATGAACCCCAAGGGTGAAATCCCAGCCCAGCACCACTGCAAATCCTTGGTGCCTTCGGAGGAGATGGGACACCCTGCAAGGCACCTGGCCTGAGATCACTCCCTCTGGACGGGACAGAGGAAAACAAAATGTAAATAGGTCTTCCCAATCCATCTCACATAAGAGACTCCCCTTTTTTAATTTCTTAGAGAAAACCAGTTGTTGTGGCCGTAGAGGAAGAGCCACTATTTTTGTAGCATCTGACCCATTTTATCTCCTGCTTGTCACTGAGCAATGGCTTTTTTATGACCCTTTTTCTTGCTGAAAGGGCTCTCCCACTTCCCAGTGAAGTCCAAAGCAGACTGTGTTAATAGCATTGGGACTGGCGGAATAGTGCCCAGGCAACTTTGAAAATAAAATAATAAAAAAAAAAAAAATAGTCCTGTGACTGGTGATTACTCATCAACGCAAGTCAAATGTCAACCATCATGTTTTTAGTACCAGTAGGGAATCTGCAAGCCACTAAGGAAAAATTTGCATGCAGGAGCCATGAGAAACCTGCCATCTCCAAACAGAGGTTTTGTGAATAGGAGAAGAGGATCTTTTCACCAAATGAATTAGACTCTGAATTATTCACTGAAATCTAGTTATGATTTATTCATTCATATGCTGTCACTTTGCTGAGCCTAGGAAGCTCCAACTAATGCTGGGAATTTACATCCCACATTTCTATAGCAAGTTTCATCTCAAAAGACTCACAAACACTGTGCAATTATAATCAGCTGAAATATAAACTATATACAAAGCTCTGTTTATTACTGAAATGCAACTGCTCCTCGGGTGTGACACTGAGCCTGAATGCATCGAGAGTCTGAAAGACCCCAGCAAAGAACAAAATAATGAAAAAACTAAAAAAAAAAATCCTTTCTTTAATACAGAGATGGTTTCCTTTGCCTCAGTGTCCCGAGGCAGCATTTCTGGCATCAGGAACTTACTGCGTTAACCCAAGGCTTTGGCCCTGGCAGAAGAAGTAAACATTGGTCTACAACAAAAAGATGTGGCTTTTAGTCAGGCCTAAGGGGGGGCACCCAGACCCCATCAAGGTCAGCAGGAACACGCTGGGGCACGTCTCTGGGTCTGGTCTCTTGGAAAGCGCAGGCTGGGGGCCATGCGCAACACCACGCTCCACCTTTCCCAACAGTTACCCAGCCAAGTCCCATGACTTCTTGAGCAACAAGAAAACCAAAGTGGAGGTGCAAGCCAAGGCCACGCAGTGCGTTGCCACCTCTGTGCTGTGCCACATGGCATGAGGGTGGTTTAAGTTAATGCTGCCTGCCATCACATCAATACGCTACAAACCAAGACATTATCAGCTATCAAAACTGTACTGCCCTTCTCAAGAAAAGCAATGCAGCATGTCTCCTGCAGGCTTGATGCTTTGTTTGATGCCAATGCCAGAGCAGCACTGGCACCGGGGGCATGGGAGCTGGGTTGGCGGGAGCCTCTCCTGTCCCTCTAGCCCATGCCAGGGTGGCCTTTCCCAGCAGGACAGGTGCCTTGCTCTGGGAGCACCGTCTGCAAGGACTAGTTTCATTACCCTGGGATTTGGGAGCCTGGCTCCCCAGCCAGAGCAGCCCACCACGCGTCCCCACCACCCAGGTCTGAGCTCACAGGGCTGCAGCCTCAGCTCCTCCAGACTGCAGGTGTTCAAGCTTCATTTAGAGATGTGTGCTCACTATGTGTTTCTTAACCTCTTTATTTTCACCTTTGGAAGACTGATTTTTTGTGGAAAACCTTTTGTAGGTCATTGCACATTTTCCTCTCAGCGGTTAGATGCACTTTGGCCTGGCAATGACCTAACAAGTAAGTGGAGCCACGCAGAGGTGAGAGCAAAGGTGCCCACACCTCTCTGCATAAACAGTTGCTTTGGCTCCTCCACCGCACCCAGGGGGACTTCGAGGGCTACAGAGAAAACCTGGTAAACAAACTAGCAAATGAGTATACTTTGTATAGGAATAAAATATTTCTCTTTTCTCTTCCAGTGCGTACCTGCAGCCCACTTAGTGTGTCAGGTACATTTGTTCAGCCTGAGGAAGATTGTAGAGCGGTGAAGCCTACTCTTGTGGACCATGTGCCTACGGTGGGGAAAAGGGACATGAATTACCAGGCTGATGTAGGGCTGTTGCTTTGGGTCCATGCTGAGCCCTTCAGCAGACCTCCTGAGTGCCTGCCCAGGTATTTGAGTGCCAAGATCAAACTTTGGCACCTCATTGATAGATGCAGCTGGAAACCCAACAGCTGTGAGTGAAACAACAGGAAAAAAAAGGAATAGTTTTCAGGTGGGTGGGTGTACAGTAGCACCTACTCAGCCACCAGGAATAAACTCTCCTACCCTGGCCACACCGGCGTTGCCTGAGTGGCTGCACCCGGCCAGCGATGCCTGCTCCTGAGCTACAAGAGCAGCTTTTAGGGTTTTTAGGCTTGTCAGCCAGGGGACATCACTGCAAATCAAGCAAGGGTGTGACTTTCAAGCACAAAAGCCCTTTTCTCAATGCAAAGTGTTATTGGGTCAGCCCTGTGGCACACAGTGATGCGAAGGCAGTGCAGGGCAGGGGTGTCAGCGTGCAGCCCCTCTGGCTTTCCCCAGTGGGCTGAGGGCCTCCACCCCTTGCCGCATGGCTCGTTGGCATCTCAAATAGGAGGTCAGCCTTGCCTTTTTGAGCTAGAAGAGGATAACTGCTCAGGGCTCACTCCAACGAGCAGCTCAGCCATCTGACCGACCACCGACCGCCGGGAAGGCAGTGCAGGGCAGGGGTGTCAGCGTGCAGCCCCTCTGGCTTTCCCCAGTGGGCTGAGGGCCTCCACCCCTTGCCGCATGGCTCGTTGGCATCTCAAATAGGAGGTCAGCCTTGCCTTTTTGAGCTAGAAGAGGATAACTGCTCAGGGCTCACTCCAACGAGCAGCTCAGCCATCTGACCGACCACCGACCGCCCCCAGCCGCAGCCTGCAGCACAGGGGAGCGGCAGGCTTGGCTCGGGGTAAGCACGGCAGCGGATGGGCCAAACATCCCGCCTGGGCAGCGCAGCCTGATAACCCCTGGCATGGGGAGAGGAAAGGAGAGGAAAAGCTGCCCTTGCCTGCCGTTGGCCGGAAAAAGTAGTAATTGATATATCGGTGTGTTTACAGCTGTGACGGGCCCTGGCCTACAAAGGAAATGAAGAGGAAAACTGGCTGCCAATAGTCTAAAAATGTGATGGCCAGCGTGCTTTTATAGTGAGCATGTTTGCCTTCAAGGAAGGTTACAAAGATAATTGGTAATTGTAGGTCAGACAGAACGAATTGCTGCAATTCATGGGAGAGTCATAAGTCCTGCACGGCTGCCCGGGGGCTGTTGTGTTAAAAGTACAGGACTGAAAAAAACCTCAAAACATTAAAAAGGAAAGAGCCCTATTTACAGCCCCTGCAGTGCCCCAGGACATTCAGCAAACCATCAGTTCAGTGAAATAAATTGTTATCTGTGCATGTTTGTGAGAGGCAGGGAGATGCAGCATGCGCCTTTCCTGTCCTTCCATCCCGCCCCACAGCGTGGCACGTCCAATGCTCTGCCATGCACAGATGCCGCCCCATAGCATAGGATTTGGGGATGGGGGTTTGGGGAAGCACCAGGGGAGGATTTTGTGCCAGAGGACCTATCCCGGGGGGACTGGGCTGGAGCACGGACCCTCAGCACCTGCTGCTGGGCAAGGATGGAGGGGAGAGAAACCCCAGGGACTGTCCCAGGCTTGGGGGACAAGGAAAAGAGCTGGCAGAGGCAGTCCTGAGATGCCGGGATGGGGAGGACTGGGTATCCTGAGGTGGAGGTGGGATAAAGCAGCAGCCACAACCTGGGCTACCTGGGGAAAGGAAGGAGGAAGCAGTAGCAAGGAGGCTCAGCTGCTGGCATTTTAATGACAGGAACAGGTAACTGCGTATCTCAAAGTCTGTGGTTATTAAGAATGTGGTTAAACAAGAGAAAGAAAGGAGGAAGGTGAGTGTGGGCAGAAGTAACACTGCCAAAGGCTGGGCACGTTTCGGTAAGGCCAACTCTGAGGAATCATATTGAATATCCTGGCCATCTTTTTTTAGTGTGGCTAGAATTAATGACAGATGTACAAGCATGAGAAAGCATGTTACAAAATAAAACAGAGAAATAAAATACAGCACAGAATAAATGTCAGACACTCGATTTACGGGAATGAGTTCACATAAACCTGGTCATTGCAGACAAAACGTGAAAAATATTAATAACACTGTTTTTTTATTGACTTTACAATTTAGGTGGCCTAGAAGCTTCAGCTGGAAAATAGTTAATTTTGCCTCTCATCTCTGTGAGCAACATCTCAGTTTAACAGAGCCCAGAGAGATGAGCAAAATTATTTTCTCTCCACTTCTCCCAGTGGAGAGCACTCCCTCCGTGATGCAGCACTTTTCCGGTGTGGCGGTTCCTGCTGCATAGCTAGTCGCCTGCTTCCCTTCTGCACATGTGGGCCATGGGGCAGGGGAAAGGGAAACAGCTTAAAAAACAGAAAAATGTGACCAGAGCTCCAGAAAAGCTGTCAAAGAAATGAAAGAGGTGGCTGGAATAAATGGCACCGGTTTTGTCATGTTTTCTGAAAGGCACACCATTGCAAGTTCCTGTTTTCCTTGAGTGCCATGTCAGAGAGCATCAGGAGGCAGCGTTAGGTGAGGAGGGAGGTAAGCAACACAGAGGGTCGAGACACTGAAAAAAGCATTGCGGTATCTCTGCGCCCATCGGGGTGCTAGTTTGTGGGTTGCTATGTTATTAACCTAGGCTATTTTTACATCCCAGCCCTGGAAATTGTGCCAGGCGAGCGAGGTGACTCACATGAGGCTGCACCAGCCTCGGTACCAAGGGGCATTTGGGGAAGCTGCTGTGTCCCAGGCCACCATCGCACACGGCATTTTCCCCACCTCTCCTTGCCCCTGCATCAGCAGCGATGGCCCCAGGGACCCCTGCTGCAGCCGTGGCTGGTCCGTAGGTCCCCTCAGCAGGCATAGCTCCCTCGCCCAGCTGCTTTGTGGTTGCTTTTGGTGTTTTTCCCCCCAGGACTTTTTCCATGGCCATGCTAAGCCAGCTCCGCGGGACCATGTCGCCAGACAGAGACCCCCAGGGCATCATATGCAGATCTGTCTCCATCAAAAGGTTTTGGGAGCCAGGCTGGCTTGGTGAAAGTAGGGCATTCATCCAGGGGCTCTCACCACCTAAAGCTGTACTGGGCCAAATGCTCAGCCTGTTTCCCCTGTAGATGATATTCTGGCCCTGGCACTCCACAGGAGGGCACCAAAAACATATTTAAATAGTGACAATTATACCTATTTAATTCATATTCATTTATCTTTTACACCTATTGTCTCCATAATTTTTCTACAGATTTTTTTAATGTTGTGAAGATATCTGAAAAAAACGTAAATAATTTTAAAAAAATCAACCTTTCCCCCTTTTCTTCTTAAGAGATGTATAATTATCTTTTTTTCCAAAGTGTTCCTTTGAAAATTTTTGGCAATTTCTGACTTTATTGACATGTTCGTTCCTTCCTGCACAGAGCTATGCAGAACATGGCCTGCATAGTAATTTCATTAGATGTATCGATTATGCCAAATGGTGGCACTACAGATGTTATTTACTGTGATCCAAAGGTTTGGGCCTTTGACTTTGATTTTTGGGGTTTTTTTCCAAAGCTGAAAAAAACAGAGGGGAAAAAAAAGAAATCCACTCCTTTAAACTGCTGAGATGTGCTTATTCCCTGACGTGTAGCGAGCACGAATGGAGTAATGCGGCGCTGGCATGTCACATCCAATGTGCTAAAAGCATATTCATGTCTATCCGGGGCTCGGGGTGCTCCCCCTTCCAGCCCAGCCAAGGCGCGGGGGCTGGGGGTGCTCCTCTAAGCCACTTGCTCTGCCGGAGAAAATAAGCTAAGGAGCTTATGGTGGCATCGGTGCACGTGGCTCAGAGGATTGACCTGGCGGCACCTTCTCCATGGTGGGAGAGGCAGGAGTGTGAGGGGGACCTGGGCAAGGGGTTGCTGCTGTTCTGTATCTAGAAGAGGACACTTGGACCATGAAGCAGAGAAAAACAGTAAATTAAGAAAAGAAATGAAATACCAAAGGAGCGATGCCTGGAAAGTGATCCTGCAAGTAATTTTTTCACTGCAGGCTCTCTGAAAATATCCTGATGTGTGGGTGTCTATTAAAAGCAAGCTGTGTCTGGGATTCAGAGCAAGGTATGAACTCATTCCAAGGACTAATTGCAGTTATGCCACCCATCGGGAAAAAAATGCTGGAGTCTGGTTAAAAACAGCCTTCCAAGAAGCTCAGGCACCAGTAACCTCACGTGAAACAAAGGAGAGTAAAAAGATAAGGTATGAGGAGAATGCACAAATGTTTGCTGGAAGATTAAAAGGAAGACCTATTAATTAGACAGAGCGGGGGACAGCCGAGCATAACAGGATGAAACAAAGGCAGGCTAGTTGAGGAACACTTTCCTATCCATGAAATTTGGTAGACCAAAACACTCAATGGAAACAGAGAAGGACAGAAAAAATTAGACAAAGCAAAACACTGGGAATTCAACATCCATGGGGGGAAAAGCTGGACTGCCTGATAAATCAGTCCCACGCGCTGACAGATCATACTCTATTCACACGTTAATGTTGGTAGATACTGCCCCAGCACTTAGCGAGAGCGACCTCAGCCTTGTTTAAGATAATAGCAGCTTTGCCATTGGCTTCGATGAAGCCAGAAGTTCAAACACAAACCAGAAAATTATCTCCTCGTTCCACAGCTGGTGTAATTAAAGTGGAACAAGACCGTGACCCTGAATTTTCCGGCTCCTTCTAGTTCCTGCTTACCCACTATCACTGCTACTTTTCTGAAAAGTAAATTTGAGAAAGCCTCAAAATCGATAAATGCTTTTCCCATTTTCTTGACCTATGATTGCTTTTTGTTCTTAAAGTGCCTTTGGAAGTCTTTTCCATGCCAAAATACCTGAAAGAACCTCTAAAAAAAAGGCAGAGCTCCATCAGCAATGTCTTGCTGCTAGAGAAAATGATCAGGTTTTGATTAATCAAGAGTTTTGATTAATGAAGGACCAGTCTTTCATGTTATACTGTACCTCATTTTTCAAATCAGCTTTATTATTTACTCACTGGCTCAGCTGCACTACAATTTTCTTTGCAAATTCATATTTTGACAAATTATATGGCAATTTTTTTACACTGCAATTATTTTGTGAAACAGTTTTACTACTGAATATTCATAGATCTGTAGGAACGCTGCTTACTCATGTACATAAAGTACACATCTCCTCCACAATTTTGCCTTTCCCCGAATTATTATGCATCCATGAGAACTAGAGAAGAGCTGGCTCTGTACCCCACAGCCCCTGGCAGAAAAAGAAGCATGGATGAAACAAGAAATACAAAGAGGGACATCTGAAAGTGCCTCTCGGGAGGCAAAGTGCATACCTTTGTACCAGAAAAGAAGATACAGCAGGACGCTTCCCATCTTGAACTGCATCTTTTCCTTCCTCTGTTGGGAATAGCTCCTTAGCGTGCTGCTTGGCTTGCTGGGAAGGCATGAGATTAACTTAAGCATTGCCTAAGCACCTTACTCTCCTCCATTCTCATGCTTTCATCATGCACCATCAGGCCAACCACACAATTATTACTGTCAAGCTCCATCCTAGAGGACACATCATGTGTAAGTTTTTAAAAGGTAAAAAGTACCGAGGTATGACACTCTGAGTGCAAATCTGATTGCGTATGCAGATGTATGTCCAGATAAAGAGGGATATACCTACCTAGAAACCATGTATATCCCCCATAGAAATGCAGATGTCCAATGCTTATAAAACATATGTAGTATATACTGTCTATTGCATGTAGCATGTATTCATTATCTTCCACCCCAGTTATTTACCTCTACACTATCAATGCCTTTCCTAATAATAGCTGTGTGTAGAAACCTGCCCTGGCCTTACTGCTCTTTCAGTCACCTAATTGCAAGGGGCTGAAAACTGCAATTAGTAGATCAAACAGAAATAGCACATTTCAGTTGTTTACTTGCTGAGCTGTAAAAATCTCAACCCAAAAAAGTAAACCTCCCTTTGCTAACAATTCTACCTATAGTATCCTCTCAACCAGTTTACATCAGAGAGTTATACTTTTGATTTTAAAATGACTGAAAGATTCAAGACAACAGACTGCTAGTGATTCCAGCGGATCTTGCACCCATTCCTCCAATCTCTGTTAATTAGGTGCAATTAGCAGTGAATTTTTAATGAAGGTTTTTGAAAGCAATTGCTTCAGAAGCAGCTTTCTTTGTTTCAAAATACCTTGGATTGCATGCAGGGGGAATAGATTAAAGCGCTGCATAAATCACGTGGGCTGCTGTTGAATTAAGCTAGACCTGTCTCTAGTCTTCTGGTCCACATCCATTCAAAAAATGTTGCGCAAACAAGGATGCCGACTTTTTGGAAACAGCCCCCTGCGCAAGATTCATCTCATCTGCCTTTGGATACCCACTAATTTGGAAAGCCCCGTAAATGGGATGTCAGGTGCGGCATCCCTCTGCAGTTGCACCTCCAGTGCCGATGCATCTGGGCCTTGCCAGGGCGTGCGACATGGATGGGACGAGTCTCCTGCCAAGGGGTCTCACTGCTTTGCTCACCCTTGAGCAGCTTAACCTCATGAATTCAACACTTTTCTCACTTTAATCTCCCCTCAGGTGGAGGGCAGGCAGACCCCTGCACAGACACAGCCATTCTGCTTCATGGACCTGGGCCAGCTCACCCCAAGCACTGGGGAGCATCAATGCACGGTAGGGCGAGCAAGCAGGGCAGCTCCTCCCAGGCATCAGGAAGAGGATCATTTTCCTAAGGGCGGGGGGCTGCTCCTGATTTTTTCTCAGAGGCCCCACACTCATACACAGCGCCCCTCTCAGGGCAGCGAGACCCACCAGAACATCCAGCCAGGGGGTGAACAAACGTGAGCCCCATTGAGAGTACAAGGGCAGCCTCCAGGCATCCGCCGTGGTGTGGCGTCTCACTCCAGGCTCTACAGTATCTGGGCAAGGCGCTTGCTCTCCCTCTCTTTGCCATCTGATCTAAAATGGGCTGCCACACAGACAGAGATTTCCAGAGCTGCTGAAGATACTCAGATATCTAGTTGTTTCTAAGCAGTGCTTACACTAAGTCAAGGACTTTTCAGCTGCTCATGCCCCACCAGTGAGAAGCTGGGAGGGGGCACAGCCAGGACAGCTGACCCAAACTGACCAAAGGGATATTCCATACCATATGGTGTCATGCTCAGTACAGAAACTGGGGGGAGTTGGCTGGGAGGGGGACCCGCTGCTTGGTAAGTGTCTGGGCATCGGTCACTGGGTGGTGAGCAATTGCACTGTGCATCACTTATTTCGTATATTGTATTATTATTATCCCTTCCTTTTCTATCCTATTAAACCGCCTTTATCTCAACCCACAAATTTTAATTTATTTTTTTTCCAATTCTCTCCCCCACCCCACTGGGGAGGGGGGGAGCGAGTGAAGGGCTGTGTGGTGTTCAGCTGCCTGCTGGGTTAAACCACAACACTGGCATACAAATACTTTCAGGTACAGAAGACAGAAACCATTTTAAAGCCAGTACATGATACAGCACCAGAAAGGGCTACATTTGCCCTTTATAAAAAATAAAAATAAAATTTTAAGAAGGCTAAAAATTAGCCTGGCATTGATTATGGAACAAAACTGTGGCCGGCACAAATGGTCCAAAGTAGGACAGTTTGGCGACATCCACACTGCTATATAAAACAGGGGCAGGAACTGCCTGGGCAGCTTCACTCTTTTGGCCACATATCTTCTGCAGGTCCAGCGCATATCCTATTTGCCTTATGACATTTTGGTATGTTTTCATGGCCCTCAGATATGTTGGCGTGTTTTCTTCCCCCAGATTGTGAGAAATAGCACAAAGGCCACCCTGCACCATTGGGATGCTTTTAGTCTGTGAAGTTGAGAGTACAGCTTGTGTTTCCAAGGGGGTGACGTGAAGGCACAGGGAGGGTACGTAAGGGTGCGAAGCCCCTGGGATGGCAGCAGGGGGAACGAAGCTGAGCGGAGGCTGTTCAACACCCTGCTGGGGGAAGCTCCCTGGCACGTGTCCTTCACCAGCTGGGTTAGCTGGCCTGAACAAGAATTTTACCAGGACTCTGCTAAGAATTAAACAGCATGGATGACCAGAGGCCAGTGCTCCAGTCCGTACCTTGGCCTTGCTTTGTTAACAGATATAGATATAGCCCAGCACCATTTGAAGATCCCCATGGCAGCATCTTATGCAGACTTAAGGGTTTCTGCCTGTAGCTTTCTCCTTATGAGAAATGAATTTGCTTCTGAGCATGGCAGAACTGTGCATCCACGAGCTCTCAAAACACACACACACGGGCATGGAGCCCTCCCTGGCGCTCGGCCGGCTGGCAATGTGTGCGAACATGTGCCCTTGGAGGGGAAGCAGGAGGCAAAAGTGCTCGCGTGCAAGAGAGAAGCACAGTTCCACGTAGCAATTTCGTGTTTCTCTCAAAGTCAGAGTGACAGACAGCTAAATCAGAGCGGTGCGCACGGATTCATACGTCTGGGAGCTGAGCACACACGACGTGCAATGTCTCAGCGCAAATGTGTGACTGGCACAGTTTTGGTTTTAGCACAGTTAGGGAACGTACACATTTATACATATATGTGCGAACCACAGGCATCTCTTTGGTTTTAGCACAGTTAGGGAATGTACACATTTATACATGTACGTGTGAACTACAGGCATCTCTCAGAAGCAGGATGCTGATGTGCCGAGAGAGCAAGACTGCCAAGGCTCTCAGAGCTTGAGTCAAACCATCAGGAGCTGGATCCCCTTGAAGTGGATGGAGCTACGATGGTCTACATACACTGAAGATCTGGCTCTTGAAATAAAATATTCTTTCCACAAGTTGGAAGTGTGAGCTTAAGCTCTTCTGAAAAGGAGCTTTTTCCTTAAATGTAAGAAAACATGATGCAGATAGTTACCTGGTGCTGGCCACCAGGATCAGGCCCATTCCCTGTAATGCATGCACCTGGGGGAGCTGCGGCTGTCATTGGCAGGGTAGGCACCATAGGATCACCGTCCTTATTAGATGGGAAGTACCCACACTGAAGGCTTGCATGCACCAAATTAGGAGAAGTCTGGCTATAGATCATTCAGCTTTGAGCCTGTGTCCTTAAAGGAGCCCGGCTGTGGAAGGCAGTTTACCTGAGAAGCGGGATACATCACTTTGGCTTCGCCTCCCGTGCGCTGCATACACACTGCTAACCAAGCTAGGCAGAGGAAAGACAGACCTGTGCAAGCACTGACAAAGGTTAATAGTTTTCTTAAGATGATGATGATTAAGGTATGTTTCTTAAGATCCTGATTGAAGTAAGTTAAGCCAATTTTTCCTCTTTCATCTTTAAGATCGGCAAATCACACCCTCCTGCTCTAATCCTGCAGAGTCTCAAGAGCAAGCTCCAGCTCAGGGGAGGTAAGACACCCCCTTCCTCCTCCTCCTCCTGCAGAGAGGCCTCAGCACCGGTTAGGGCTCCCCCACAAAGACGCCGTGGCAGCATCCATGCCCCGAGGTTACCCTTTTCTAAAGGCTTGCCCGTGCAAAATGAGACAACACGTTACAATTCAGAGGTTAGGCTGCTCCGAGGCATGCTGACATGGCTCTTTCTCCTCATTAATAAAAACAACGATACACACAGTATAGGGGGAAAACAAGGACGGAGTTAACCCTGCTTGATAGCTGTGCGCTGCGGAAAGCGCTGGCCTTTCCCCTCAGCCAGGCCCACCCTGGGCCTCCCCTCCTCACCAGAGGCACGGGGGCTACCGGCCACCACAAAATGGCACCCAGGGAGTTGGGTACGGTGAGCGACCAGATTAAAAAAACCTTGTAAATCCTGCCGTGCAGAGCCGTGCCGGGCAGGCTGGTGGAGAGAGCACCGGCTGCTTTGGCACCTCGGGGTGCTGGCTCCAGCCAGCTCTTGCTGGGTCTCTCTGCATTTTCGTTGATGTTCTTGCAGGGAACAGAGCCTTTTCGGGGGGAAAAAAAGCAAGCGCTGCGGCAACATTGTCTAAATTACACTCACAGTCTTAGAAAAATGTGTTATTGCACAGGGCTGTGGGAAGGACCCTGCCAGGCCAGCGTTTCCTGCTCGAGGGGCCTTTCCGCTCCCCTCGCCATGCACCGCTCCTCCCCCGCCCGAAGCAGGGCGTGCGCTTTCTTTACGTGCTTATGAGGTTGCCCGTCTTAAGGGGAGGGGGGGGAACCAAACCTAGACGCAGCGCTTTAAAGGAAAGGACGAAAAACTAAGGGGTGGAAACACAAGGAAAAGCAAAAAACGAAAGCCGCGGGCGCTGGTTCCACTGGGGCTCGAACCCAGGACCTTCTGCGTGTAAAGCAGACGTGATAACCACTACACTATGGAACCACCACAATCAAGGGATGACACAATCTTTGTC